TGGGCGGCAGCCAGGTTCCTTATTGGATCAGGGTACAAGGATCACACAATCTCCCTGTTGCGTCAGCTCCACTGGCTACCAGACTGCTACCAAGCACAATTCAAAGTGCTTGCCTTAGCCTATAAAGCCCTAAATAGTTCCGGCCCAGCTTACCTATCCAAACGTATCTCCCTCTATGAACCATCTCGGAGGTTAAGATTGTCCAAAGAGGCACTGCTCTCGATCCCACCCCCCTTGCAGGTGCAACTGGTGGGGACAAGAGACAGGACCTTCTCAATGGTGGCCCCTCAGCTAAGGAACTCACTTCCCAGGTAAATTAGATCAGGCCCCTCCCTACTGACCTTCAGGAAGAAAAATGAAGACATGGATGTGGGACTAAGTCTTTGGACAATGATTCTCAGTGCAATTATGATTTCTTAGTGCAATAATGAACAATGCAATTGACAACCAGAATGGCTCCAGGAAAATGCCTTTGGATTGTGTGATTTTAATTCATTATTTTAAGATTGATATGTTTTAATTATGTGGTTTTAAAGTATATGTTGTTTTATTCTATAGATGTATTCATGGCACTGAATCGTGCCTTGTTGTGAGCCGCCCTGAGTCTCCTTCGGGGTGAGAAGGGCAGGATATAAATGCAGTAAATAAATAAATAAATTCAGGCTTGTATGTCATTTTTTATGTTTCATACTCTAGCAATTACAAAAAAACAATACCTTTTTGTGTAAGAACTTGAAAGATACAGAGCCAAACTGACAACTCTCTTATATCCCATCCTGTAGCCAACCAATTTCATATGTGTGTTTAAGATGGCAATCTCTTTAAGAAAAAGACAAAAGGCTTAAATCCATATCCTATTTTAATCCCACAAACAGCATTTCGTTCCTTTCTTCTCAATGTGATCATACATACAGCATTCTCCCAATGACATGCTGTGTGTTTCTCGCCTTTTCTTTATTCTTCTTCAGTCTGTTTGCAAACATGCCCCCCCCCCCCCACGCTCCAAAACATTGTAATCCTTCAATCCCATCTACTCCAAGCCTGGCCTTTGAAGAAAATGTTTTTAACAGACTTATTTCCATGTATATGCAAATAATTTAGCAGGGATTATTTTCTGAGATGGGGAATGTTAAAAGCAAAGAGAATATGCAAGGGTAATTGTTGTATCTTAGAGATGCAATTAAAACAAGTGAACAGTTTGTGATTAAATATGAAAATGAGATCAAATGAATGTACAGACTGAAGCTGATATTTTTTTGTTTTTTTAAAAAAATTATCCTCCAATTCTGGAAAATACTTATAAGAAAAGACTGAAAACCCAGCACAGCAACTTTACCATTGCATTTGTGTTCTGGAAATATAGAATAGACTGAATATCCCTTATGTGGAATTCCAAAATCCAAAACACTCCAGAATTGTCAACAAGAATGGCTGAGTTTACTTTAAACAAACTTTATTTTATGCACAAAATTATGAAAAATATTGTGTAAAATCACCACCAGGCTATATACTTTTACATGTGTATGAATCAAAAATGAATTTGGTTTTTAGACTTGTGTCACACATCCAAGATACCTTATTATTATCATATATATACAAGTGATTTGACTGTGTGGATCATAATAAATTGTGGCAAGTTCTTAGTGGGATGGGCATCCCAAGCCACCTTGTCTCTCTCCTGAAGAATCTGTACAAGGACCAAGTAGCAACAGTCAGAACTGACCATGGAACAACAGACTGGTTCAAGATTGGGAAAGGCGTACGGCAAGGCTGCATCCTCTCACCCAACCTTTTTAACTTGTATGCAGAACACATCATGCGATGTGCGGGGCTGATGAATGCAAAGCTGGGGTGAAAATTGCTGGAAGAAACATTAACAACCTCAGATATGCAGATGACACCACTCTGATGGCCTCTGATGGCCGAAAGCGAGGAGGAGCTGAGGAGCCTTCTAATCAAGGTGAAAGAAAAAAGCGCAAAAGCTGGGTTGCAGCTAAACGTCAAAAAAACCAAGATTATGGCAACAAGAATGATTGACAACTGGAAAATAGAGGGAGAAAATGTGGAGGCCATGACAGACTTTGTATTTCTAGGTGCAAAGATGTCTGCAGATGCAGACTGTGGCCAGGAAATCAGAAGACGCTTACTTCTTGGGAGGAGAGCAATGTCCAATCTCAATAAAATAGTAAAGAGTAGAGACATCACTGGCAACAAAGATCCGCCTAGTCAAAGCCATGGTATTCCCTGTAGTAACCTATGGATGTGAGAGCTGGACCTTAGGGAAGGCTGAGCGAAGGAAGAGAGATGCTTTTGAACTGTGGTGTTGGAGGAAAGTTCTGAGAGTGCCTTGGACTGCGAGAAGATCCAACCAGTCCATCCTCCAGGAAATAAAGCCCGACTGCTCATTGGAGGGAAGGATACTAGAGACAAAGTTGAAGTACTTTGGCCACATCATGAGGAGACAGGAAAGCCTAGAGAAGACAATTATGCTGGGGAAAGTGGAAGGCAAAAGGAAGAGGGGCCGACCAAGGGCAAGATGGATGGATGGATCCTTGAAGTGACTGGACTGACCTTGAAGGAGCTGGGGGTGGTAACGGCCGACAGGGAGCTCTAGCGTGGGCTGGTCCATGAGGTCACGAAGAGTCGGAGACGACTGAACGAATGAACAACAACACAAGTGATTTATTTTATTTCATGTCAAATGCACTGCATAAATAAGTATAAAATTGATAAAATAGAGGGATCACAAGCGGCTAAATAATTTAGACCAAAAACAGGCAACAGTGACTGCACTGTCTGTAGCTTTAAACAATTCCTCCTTTGTGCATGAGGCAGGGCATTGTGGGCAAGTATACAGATGCTGAGTTCTTTGTTCTGCTCCACAGTCACACAAGGTGGAGGATTCTTCTAGATAATGCCATTTAGCCAGGTTGTCTTTTGATCTGCCCACTCCACCTCTGAGTCTGCTCAGGGGTGGCCAAGTTGCCCATTCTTGATTCACCCTTGGAGGCAGATCCTGATGGGGGACCATCCATTTGGGATTTCCTAGTTTAGCTGTCCAGAGCGATACTCTTGCTGTTGCTGAGTGGTGCTCAGAGTGCTAAGAGGAGTGGTGGCTTCATGCGTGGTGGTTCCCATGAAGCTTTTCTTTGATTTCAATCTACTGAGAGGAGGCTGATAGCCAAGCATTGGATGGCTTTCATTGCATGGCCAAAACTCAAAAGCATTGCTTTACAGCAGGGGTCCTCAAACTAAGGCCCAGGGGCCGGATACATCCCTCCCAGGTCATTTACCGGGCCCTCACTCAGGTTCAACCTAAGTCTGAATTTACTTGAAAGCACACAACAGCAACAACAACAGCAACAATCCTATCTCATCAGCCAAAAGCAGACCCACACTTCCCACTGAAATATTTGTTAAAATTGTTTTTTGTTTTAATTATTGTATTAAGTGTTTTTTGCCCTACAAATTATATATGTGCAGTGTGCATAGCAATTCATTCATGGTTTGGGTTGTTGTTGTTTTTTTTCAAATTATAATCCAGCCCTCCAACAGTTTGAAGGACTGTGACCTGGCCCTCTGTTTAAAATGTTTGACGACCCCTGCTTTACAGCAATACAGGCTATCACACTGTACATACATATGGTAATATAGTAATAATTTATCTTCAAAACAAAGGTTTGGTTTGTACATTTATGGAAAACTTGCCTTTGTGAGCTGAATTAGTAATTCAGGTTAAATTTGACCTGTGAGCCAAAGCTTCCTTTGAACATAAAATGTGTTTCTTACAATCCGATAGAAGAGTCTTGTTTTTTAGAGATCTTTATATCGTGGAATAGGCAGTTGGATGCTGAGCATTATCAGTCATACATGTGACTGGAATGTTTTCAAATCATAATACATTTTGTCACTTCCCCCTGAGCTGACTGTACCAAACTGAGTGCGCACAACACACTCTTCCTTTACATTATACTGTATCACAGGGGTCCTCAAACTAAGGCCTGGGGACCAGATACGGCCCTCCAAGGTCATATACCCAGCCCTCGCTCAGGGTCAACCTAAGACTGAAACCACTTGAAAGCACACAACAACAACAATCCTATCTCATCAGCCAAAAGCAGGTCCACACTTTCCATTTAAATACTAATAAGTTTATATTTTTTAAATTGTTCTTCATTTTAATTATTGTATTTTAAGTGGGGGGTTTTTTTGCATTACAAATAAGATATGTGCAGTGTGCATAGGAATTCATTCTTTCTTTTTTTTCAAATTATAATCTGGCCCTTCAACAGTTTGAGGGACTCTGACCTGGCCCTCTGTTTAAAAAGTTTGAGCCCCCCTGCTGTATCAATTGGTATGAAGGCACAAGCCCCTTGCCTGGTTCACAGCTCAAAGCCAAAGCTGACCATGTTGCAAAAATTCCATGATATAGCCATCTTCGATGACTGGTTTCACTTTATTTATCCTCACAGCAGTGCTGTGGTGGCTGAAGGGGTGCTTGGCCCTCTCATACAATTATCTTCCCTTTCCAAAACTTGCCATTGGGCTCACAACATGTGGGAAAAACAGGGATTGTGCTCTCTTCATTTCCCTACCTAGCAGTGTGGTTAATTCAGTTTTGAAAAGTACCTCATTTACATTGAGAAGGCAGTACAGAAAATGGGGTTAAGCACACCTCTCTTGGCACTTTTGCTCATATCAAAGTAAGAGCCTTTCCTCCTCGTGGCCATTCTGATTTTTTAAATTAAATTGTAAGGTTTTTCTTCACCTCTCTCCATTGGTCCTCAGAAGATTGAATAGAATGAAGAAAGAACATGTTATGCTTCTTAATAAGTACAAGTTGGTGCCTTTGAAGTACCTAAAAAGTAACTTTGTCGTTATCCAAGTAGTTAAGTGAAACAAACTTTTCTTCCTTAGGTATTATAATTGCAAGTACAAATTTAGAAATGTGCATGTATTTTTTATGAAGTTCTAATTAGTCTGGTTTTGGTCTCCCACAGGTTCAAACTTAGGGAATGAAGAGCAAATCACTCCTAAGGCAGTGGAGACTTCTAAAGAAGCACCCAAGGGAACCGGTAGGACTCCACCACAGGCATCACATAACACACCAGCTGCCCGTAAGAGTTTACTTCCAGCACCGAAGACGACCACAGCACCTGCTGGTGAGTTTTTCTTACACGAGTATCAGAATGGCTATGCTATGTCTATGCATATAGCATATTTGCATGCTCCTAGAATGTGGGTTACATTGGACTTCTGATTTCCAACATCTTTATCAGTGACTTAGATGATGGAATGCAGGGTATTTTTATCACATTTTCAGAGAACACCAAATTGGGAAGGATAGCTAATATGTCCGAGGACAGGATCAGAATTCAAAATGACTTTCACAGATTGGAGAGCCAAACTAACAAATTAATTTAAATAGGGGGAAATGTCCTGTACTACACTTTGGGAATAAAAATGAAATGCAAAGATATAGGATGGGTAACATCTGTCTTGAAAACAGTATGTGTGAATGGGATCAGGAGTCTTAGTAGACTACAAATTGAACATGAGTCAACAGTTCAACTGCAAAAATTACAAAAGCCAGTGCTACTCTATTTATTTATTATTTATTTATTTACCATATTTATATACCACCTTTCTCAGCCTGAAGGTGACTCAAGGTGGTTTACACTTGGCACAATTCGATGCCCCCTAACATATAAAATACAATTAAAAACATAGCATATAAAATATAGTTTCATAAAAAGTCCATAAAATCATACATCCTTAATGTCTTCTTACTGAAATCACTATTCAATCACAACACTCTAATCTGCAATAATAGCATCAAGATTGAGGGAAGTCATAGCCCCACTCTATTCTACTTTGGTTCTGGGCATCACAACTCAAGAAGCATATTGGCAAACTAGAACGTGTCCAGAGAAGGGTGACCAAAATGATCTCAGGATTGGAAACAAGATTCTATGTGGAATAGCTGAGGAAACTAGGTATGTTTATCTTGGAGAAAAGAAGGCTGAGTGGAGATAGCCGTGTTTGAATATTTGAAAGGAAGTCATATTGAGGAGGGGGCAAGCTATTTTTCCTTCTCTGGAGACTAGAACATGGAGCAATGGATTCAAATGGCAAGAAAAATGTTTCCACCTAAACATTAGGAAGAACTGCCTGGTGGTAAGAGCTGTTCAGCAGTAAAATATGCTACCTGGGAGCCTGGTGGTGTCTCCTTCTCTGGATGGTTTTAAGCAGAGGCTGGATGGCTATCTCTCAGGGGGCTTTGATTATATTTTCCTGAATGGCAAGATGTTGGACTGGATGGCCCTTGTGGTCTCTTCCAACACTGAGATTCTATGATTTTGAGGTATTAACTTTTCCTTTACCAATAAGATCATGCAATGTTCTTGTTGGCAAATCAAATCCATTCTCATTTTACACATATTTGATGTTGTGTGCCTTCAAGTCATTTCTGATTTATGGCAATCTTAAACCCATATTGTGGATGTTTCTTGGTGGAATTTATAAAGAGGGAATTTATCCTTGCCTTCTTCTGAGGTTGACATTATATGACTCACCTGAGGTAACCTAGTTAGTGTTCATGTTTAAATAGGGATCCAAAGTCTGTTTTCCAAGTGTCTTAGTCCAACACACAAATGACTACACCATGCTGGCTCCCCTTTTCAAATGTATCACTTAGTTATTAGCATTGAATGCCTTAACTCTTACTAAAGCTTCCCCGTAATAAAAGAGACCACATTACCCTATCAATACACAACAGTGTGTACATTCCTGCATGTTGTCTGTCCCTTACATAGGAGGCTGCGTTATACTGAGTCGATCAATTGATTCATCCACTTCAATATGGGCAATTCTAGCTTACAGCCATGCATGATCAGACATTCATGCTGGATGCTTCCTTAGATGTACCAGGAGTTCCCTGATAGTCTCCTATCCTAAAATATGAGTACCTTGGGACATTTTCCCTTACATATAGACCACTGGACTCAGTTTATACCCTCCAACAGAGTGGAGATAGTATTTTGAAGGAATTTAGAAATCCTTCATTGGATCATGTAACACTTAGGAACAGCTATATAATATATGTTTATATACATTATCTCAACATTTAGTAATTGTTTTAAAAGCATGAGAATCCTTGACTTTCCCCATTCAACATCAGTGAGCATCATATCTCATTCTGATTGTCAAGAGACGCTTCATCCTTCCAGCAAGCAGTTACAAAAATCTTCAGAGACCCACCTTTTAAAAACTGAATTCTTAAATACACACATCATGTTTGTCTAGCCAGATAAGAGCCATCATGCCTAATTCATTGTTGTGCAAATATATGTTAATCAGGAAACCCTCTGAAACGGATCTCTAATATTATAATAATCTCGTTCTCAAACTACGTATTTGTTGCTTTTCCACAGAAGAGAATTCTGGATGATTAATAAAAGAGCATATGGGAGAAAGATGCGATGACAGCTTATTAACCTGGGATTTCTGTACCTTTAATGGAGCTATCAAAAATGGATTATTGAGTTTATTAATTGTTTTCTTGTGTAATAAGTGAAGGTCACAACATCATTTCAATCTCACTCATCGCAAATTTCCATATTACCCACTGTACTAAGTCTTCTTTTCTTATCATATGTACTATTTATTTGAGCTGAAAAAAATATCACTGCATCTATGTTCAGGCATCCTCAGAGGTTGTGAAGTCTGTTGGAAACTAGGAAAATGGGGTTTACATATCTGTCAGGCTACACAGAGAAGCCATTGAAATCCACAAGCATGTGGACAATTTCAACAGAAAGGAAGAAACAATGAAAATGAACAAAATCTGCCTACCAGTATTAAAAAAAACTCTAAAACCATTTATCAGCAACTGAACAAGAGGTTTCAGAAGAATTCACCATGATTTATAGGAGTTGTAATTCACCTACATCCAGAGAGCACTGTGAACCCAACCAATGATGGATCTGGACTACACTTGCCACAGATGATGGAATTTGCATTACTTTCAATTGTTTTGACTCCCACAGACCACTGCCCACCCCACCAGTGACAGACTTGGACCAAACTTGCCACACAGACCCCATGACCCACTTTACATCCTGCTGTGGTTTGGGGAAGGATGGACCATGAATGATGGGATTTTCAGTACCATCCACATCCAGAGACTACTGCGACCCTCACAAATGGCAGGCCTGGACAAAAGTTGGAACACAAAATCCTCATGACCAACATAACATACTGGAGGGGTTTGGGGAACAGATCCACCTGCATGGAAGTTATAGTTCACCCTGCATCCAGAGCACTCTGAACCCCATCAATGACGAATCTGGACCACACTTCAAACATAGAACCCTGGTGAACAACCTAACATACTGGAGGTGTTTGTGGAGGGACTGACCTACCCGTGTGGGAGTTGTAGTTCACCTTGCATCCAGAGCACTCTGAACCTCATCAATGACGAATCTGGACCACACTTCAAACATAGAACCCTGATGACCAACAGAACATACTGGAGGTGTTTATGGGGGAGGCACCTAACTGCATGGGAATTGTAGTTCACCCTGCACCCAGAGCACTCTTAACCTCTCTAATGACGGATCTAGACCAAACTTCGAACACTGACTCTGTGGATAAAGGGGTTGTACTGTACCTCAAGAGCCATCTAGTCAAATCCTTTGGCTGAACAAGAGTCTACTGCTAAAGTAGACACCCAACCTCTTGTTTAAAAATCTCCAGAACAGAGCCCATCTTATATGGTATGTAACACTATAGAAATCCTTAATAGATTTTTTAAACATAAGACCATATAAATCTTCAGTAGAGTCCTTCCCTATTTACTAAGACAAGGGGGACCCAATTTGTTTCAGACTTTTGGGTGATATCATTGACATGTTGCAAAAAACCCACATGAGAAATTTCAAGGCAAGACTACATGGCTTTAATAGGCTCTGTGAGAGGTCAAGAATGAGTTGCATTTTGTAGTGAAAATGGTCAAATATGGAGACATCTAGAGATTTGTTCTCTAGACTACCTATGAGAGTTGTCCGTTTCCACTTGATTTAGAAAGCCATTAGTAATGAAAAATGGCCCTACAGCACTTTCAGGTTACTTTCTTTCTGCCTTCCTTCTTATGAAAGGAGATCTGAAAGTTTTCCTAGATTGTATTACATGTGAAGCCATAACTTTAAAATAATAATACATTGTAATAGGACTCAATTGCCCATGCAGCCCTTCCCAACTCTTTTCAATGACTTAGAACTTAATGTTTATATTTTCCCCTGGTCGTCTTAAGTATATTATATGAAAAAGGAGGTTCATGTATAAGTGATGGGTTTAGGAAAGGTATTAGTTACTGATGTTTTGATGTTATCTTGGTATGGCAGAAATAATAATAATAACAACAACAACACTTTGTATTCTGCCCTATTTCCCTGAGGGGACTCATGGTGAATTCCAGTTTATACAGAGACACGAGGCAAACATTCGGTGCCTTGGAACTATGAAGCACAGACACACAGATAAAGGTAAAGGCTTCTCCTTCATCTCCGACTCTGGGGATGGTGGTCATCTCCATCTCTAAGCTGAAGAGCCACCATTGTCCATAGACACCCCCTGATCATGTGGCTGGCATGACTGCATAGAGTGCCGTTTACCTTCCTACCAAGGTGATACCTATTGATCTACTCACATTTGCATGTTTTTGAAATGCTAGGTTGGCAGGAGCTGGGGCTAACAATGGGAGCTCACTCTGTCCCGTGTGAGCTGCCAACCTTCCGGTCAGCAAGTTCCATCAGCTCAATAGTTTCACCTGTTGTGCCACCGCGGCCCCGAATGTGTCTTTAATGGAACTGTTGTTGAATAGCCATGATTTTATAACATTAAAACATGGCAGTTTAAGTAATGCCAAGTTACATTCATTCTACAGTGTCAATGCCCCCCTTAGTCTCACAGAGCTCAGTTCTGTTTGTCTCATTTGTAAAGGCTATGGAGGACACCGTTCATACACCAGCTAAACTTCTGTGTCTTATAACATTTGTCAAGTCAATCTGGAGCACATCTGGTTAGCTATTGTGCTGTATGGCATTGATAAGCTATTTCAGACAAGGAAAGTCACTGGAACAATAAGTTGCTGGTACAAAAT